AAAATTCTTCTTCTACCAGTCCTTCATCACCTTAAACGAAATTGGGTGAATACAGCTCATATTACTGATTGATTGGTAGTCACGAAAACAATACTTTATTTGAAAAATTAGTTTAACTTTTTCACAATCACATGATGTGGTATCAGGATTGTAGAATAGACTAACGTGTACTTCCATTTCAACCGACGACACTACTTAGTTTTAGCATAATTCGTTTTCGACAGAGTTCAGCTTAATTCCATTTCGAGTGAAAGTGTTTAGTGAAGACCATCAAAGATTGATCCCACTAGAAGATAACGACGGATTCCTCTTGACCAACTGACGATTATTTCTACTGGGCAATCTGCTTCGATTCCGGTGAAACCGCTTTGAGCTTTTATCTGTCGTATGATATACATCATCAGAGCAGGGAATCCACTTTAAAACCACATTCAAGCTAACGAGTCAAGACAACTCAATGGCTAATCCTTAAATTGCATATATAAACTCTATACCTAAGCTCTTTGATGAGGTATAAAGTGATTTGGTTAGTTTAAGTCATATGTCAACCTCGAAGCACGTTAAAATATGTGTGCGTATGTATAAATATATAAATCTGACTGCCTTTATTCGCATATGTACGAAACCAGCAGTGATGACCTAAAGTAATTGAAACATAAAAAGTAACGTCGGTGATGATCACCATCAACCCCTCTCTCAATACATCGATTAAACATCACCCTGATTGCGCAAAGTCGGACATACGTCTGGTTATGTTGATTAGCCTTTTGTCTTCATGTGAGAGCTTAAGAGTTGACTAAAAGTATAGAAAAATGACTGTGATTAGAATCAAGGTAAGAAAAGATAATTTGAGATGTACTCCCCCCATTTCGTTTAAGGCAATGTATAACTGGTAATTGAATTTTCCCACAATGATATGGGTAGAGCTGACGTTTCCATTGAATTGCACATAGCCCTGCTTTTCCAAAAGTTTTTTCTCATCCAGGCTGAAGTGGACTGCAGTCTCGACCTCGCATAGATCTTATCAACACCCCCAACGGGAATCGAACCATGACAGTGCAGCGTGTAATCTCGACACGTTAGCCACTACTCCACATTGCCACAAGTGCCCTTGGGTCACAGGACAGATATAAATATCAAGGAAGACAAGACATTTTTTCATATCATAGAAAAACTAGACTTCGAAGAATCTCTAAATAAACTAAGGTTGCAGTACTTTTCATTTTGTCTGAAGAGGCAAGTGGAACGGATTTCTAACTCTGCCCCACAGGAAGCCGAAGGAGAATTGACTTAGACTGTGGCGGTAGTAGATTTATGCGAAAAAGCATCGCAACCCGGATGCATCCTTGCTTAGTTAGGCTTTACATCGAAGATTTATTTGTACAAATATGTAGTTACAACTGCAAAGCAATCCTATTTCGGCTTCCGGTGAGGCCAACTTACGAGTCTCTTCCACTCGCCTCTTCGGACGCAATGAGGTACTACAACCTTAATTTATTTAGGGTTTGTAGGTACCCCTCATAGTAGCATATTTAGTATATACGAAGAAAAATCTGGTTTCTATGACCATTGAGATAACATTAATCTGGTGCCTTTAGTTTTGTAATAAATATGATGCAAGAGAAAATCATAGTTCAATTTGACCAGAAGATGAAGGGTTGCATTACAACAGGAATCGGGCCACGTATTCTGGTGATATCGACTTACCAATCTCGTTATCATGTACTTTCATACGAAATTAAACTCTCCCCAACAAGGTATATTTAGTTAAGGGGATGAAAGACTGGAAGCTGAATTATCCCACAATGATACTAATACACCTTATGTTTCCATTGAATTTCACACAGCCATGCTATCCCCAAAATTATTCTCATCCAGGGTTAACTGCGGTTTCGCCCTCACCTAGGTCTCGTTGACATCCCCAGCGGGACTCGAATCGCGATACTTCAGCGTAGACTTTCGAAAGGTTAACCACTACGGCACACGGCCACGAGTGCCCTTGGCTCACAGGACAGATGTGAATTTCGAGCAAGGCCAGGTATTTTCACACATCACATAGGATTGCTGATGAAGCAAAGTTGCAGAACCTATTTCCCATTTCATAAGTAGGCGCTTAGAGACTACCAGTTGATCATATATATGAAATGTATTCATTCCATTTCGTTAAGGTGATAATGTTGGTATGTATGATCTACTGGTAGTCGCGTAAACGCACTTCGAATAAGAAATTAAGTAATGCATTCGGTTGCTCTAGCAAATAAAATTTGCTTTTTCGAAAATCCTACCACGGAATGTGAGATAGGAAATGCCTGGACTTCCTTGACATTTACATTTTCCATTTGGCTTAAGGGCTCTAGTGGCAGTATGGCGTAACGGTTAGCCCAACGGGACCAAACGCTGGACTATCGCAGTTCGAGTCCTGCTGAGGGTGCCAATGAGACCTAGGCGAGGTAGAAGTTACAGTTAACTTTAGCCTGGGTGACACTAACTTTGGGGAAAGCATGGCTATGCGAAATTACATGGAAATGTGAAACATACTCATCTGATTGTGAGGAAATTCAACAACCGGCCGTTCATATTCTCAACGGAATAGGGTTGATACATCTCATATTTATGATTTACTGGTAGACTTAAAAACTTACTTATAAACAAAAAAAGTTTATTCAGCACTGAGGATCTGTTTCAACTGATGAGGCTGAATTTGACATTGAAGAAAATCGTTCGTAAAATGTCTATTAATATCAGTGTTTCGTAATTACCCAAAGACGAATGGTTGAGAATCTTCCTGTTTCGAACATGCAAGGGAGCTGAACCCCAATAAAAAATATCGGTACCCTAAATGCGTTTTGTAACTGGCCTGGCTTTCAACCCTTTTTTGAATCAAAATTTTGTTAGTTTAGAGCAGTTGAATCAAAGAGATTTATAGATTAGTAACACCGATCTCGCAGTCGAGACCGTTGATTCGTGCGACGCATTAATTACATTGCGATCCCGATACATCTGTGGAGATATTTTGTCTGTCTTTTCGTGACAGAAATCTTCAGAGGATGTGAGCAAAGTTTCGAGGCCACCAGTAAATCAGTAATATGAGATGTATTCACCCTATTCCGTTTAAGGTGATGAAGGACTGGTAGTAGAATTTTCCCACAATTACATGAGTAAAGCTGACGTGTTCATTGAATTTCACATAGCCTTGCTTTCCCAAAAGTTGTTATCCTCCAAGGTGGACTGCAGTTTCGAGCTCACATCGGTCTTATCAACACCCCCGGCGGGAATCGAATGTGAACTTGACACGTTAACCATTCGGCCACATTGTCACGAGTGCCCTTGGAACACAGGGCAGATGTGAATTTCAAGGAAGACCAGGCATTTTCCCATATCACATTCGTTAGTGAGATTGTCGATGAAGTTAAACGTATATTTGCTATAACAATCGACTACATTACTTATTTTTCGTATGTGAGTAGAGTTTCGAGACTACCAGTAAATCAGTAATATGAGATGTATTGAAATGTTGTTTGATCAAAATTCACTAAAAAACAGGCCAAGAATAGGGTGTTTACAGTGTTCCTAGTTTTTATTGCTTAATTTTGCATTTATGATGAGGCATTTCACGAACTAGAACTTAGTCGGTCGTGGTCACTTAGGGCAATTGCAGTTGGGTTTACCAACAATGATGCTACAACGATGCCATGGAATTTCACTTAACCTTGTCTTCCAAGATGGCTTGCAATTTCGTCTTGTCATACCTCCAACGGATTTAGATGGCTGGTTGGGAGCCTCTACCACCCATGATCCGGTATCGAGTCCCCCTGGGGACGCTGATGAGTTCCAGACGAGGTCGAAACTTTGGTGAGAAATAGCTTTTAGTAGGCAAGGCTAAGATAAATTCAATGGGACCATAAGGCTTACTCATATGCTTGTGTGAAACCCAATCCCATTGAAAATTCCATCAGTTGTTTGGTTGGTTTATGCCGACCCCAGATGTTTGCAAATGTGTGAATCTGTTAAACGAAGGGGATGTGAATCAGCACATTAACTGTTTCCTTATATGCTCAAGCTGGTGATTGATCCTACAATGTTAATATATGTGTTGATCTATGGTTGTATGTGAGCTGTGTGTTTACGATGCGTGAGAGTAAATCAAAGTGTTAGAGCTCATACCAAACACCAGGTTAATCTTGCTTCCTCTCTCTTTTTCTAGGTCTAACAAATAGCCAAAGTTAGATACCAACAATCGTTCCACCTATCCAAAATCTTGGCTGTTTTGTTGATTTCTAGTGATTTACTAATCTTCCGTTTACTTTTATGTCTCCATACTCTGCAAAATGTAGAATTATAGATGATTCTATTGGGTAAAATATACTGTGGACTTACACACTTTAGTAATCGAGCTTTGTGTTGTGATAATTTCCTCTAGTTTGATCGGCAGGACTCTGCATGAGGAAAAAAATGTAAGATAATCTAATCTGGGTAGAGGTACTGACAATTTTTGCAAAATAAACATAACCAAGGCTGAATTGCTAGTCTCTCTTCATATATATTCGTAATTTCCCACTCCGTTTATCTTTTTCGAGGATCGAGGAACCCAGAAGTGCTGTCCAACTTTTTTTTGCACAAAATAGTATTCCTATTCTCTCGTTCTCACATTTTTACCTACTGCTGTAAGTAACCCTTTAATATGGTATGTGAGGT